TACTCATGCTCAGCTCCCTTTTGTGTTCTAGGTGTATCTTAAAGACACATGCTAAAAATCGAAACATTTTAATGTTCGGTTATAAAAGGTAATTATTTCATCCTTTTGTCTTTATTTGTGTGTAGAGAGTGAACATGCCTTGGAAAGGGTATGTCCTTACTGCTTCCAGTTCCTGGTTCCTGACAGCTACCGAGTGCGTCTCAAACCGAAGATGAAAGTGACTCCACAGATAGAGAAAGTTCTTAAACGAGAGGTGAAGAACCTTAAGCTTAACATGAAACAGACAAAGCTTCTGAAAAAGTACAGGGAGTCCAGAAGTGTTCTGGTAAGGACATTTGTTTGGAACTGGCAAATACACAGTATTTCTCTAAATTTCATGCCCCTGTTTCAGTGGCCTAAAAAAGAAGGTACAGAAACCTTCTCTTAGAAGAGGCACTCACACCTACACATTTCTTTTTCATCAGCATATGACTTTTCATTTTTTTTGGAATAACTTCTATTCATAATCACATTTTTTATAATCTACCATCTACAATAGATAGAACAAGAACACAATGACAAGAACAGCAAGCTTTCCCCTCCAAAAAAAACCCCACAGCTCCACACGTCAGAGAAGGTACACGGGCAACTCTGCCTTCCCTGTGGTATCTTTAGCAGCAGTCAAGGTAGACTCTGCAGCTGTCTAAAATCTTGCAGAAAATCAAGTGATTTCTTCCTGCCAGGAAGCTCTGGCATTTCCACTGTCAGCTACTGTATCATTTGCATAGTTTTGCAAAAATTGGCAAGAGTAGCAGACACCTGCCTTGCTCATTTTTTCCTATGAAGGTGGCAGAACTAAGACCAAGCAACTCTACTAGATGTAGAGCCTTAATACAGCCATGTAGATCCTAAATCCATTGCTAAGAATACTCCCATACCTAAGAAGAAAAACATGCCATTGACTGAAGTTAGGCTGGTTGTGCCAGTATGTAACTTGACATTTGCTGACCTTGTTGCAGTTCTATCTGTTGTTCAGTTGAGCAAATATATTTTAACACAAGCTTTATTTCATTTATTTCACAAGATTCTCAGGGATAATTGTTACCTTCTGGATTAATTTGTCACTTTCAAATATTGCTGTCCGTAGGAAGTCTTTCAAAACTAAACCACATAGGTAATTTAAACAAGTTGATGTTGCCCTTGGGGCTTCAGTTGTTTTTCCTAGAAGTACTCAGGGATATGAGATTTAATTATTTTTTATAATAATTACTCTTTGAAAAATAATAGTATACATTTAATCTAGTGTTGCCAAGGTCTGTCCTACTCTTAAAACAAGTTATATGAGTGGCTGCTGTAATAAAGGAGACAGCAATCTATTGTACCCAGAAGTTGCTGGCACACTTAGCACTTTCTTGAATGAGAGTCTGATGATTGGGGAGTAAAACTGGCAAACCCAAAAATTATAGAAGAGTCACTAATACAAAATTAAACCGAAGAAATACCACAGAGGTTCTTGGCTGTCAGGCGAAAACAAGATGCTGCATAAAGGCACTCTCCCCAAATTGGAGATCATAGTTGAGCTTCAGAAAGGACATCTGAAAAGGTTCTTCACCCAGAGAGTGGTTGGACACTAGAACAGGTCCCCGGGGAAGTGCTCACAGCAGCAAACCTGACCAAGTTCAAGATGCATTTGGACATTGCTCTCAGGCAGATGGTGTGATTCTTGAGGATGTCCTGTGCAGTGCCAGGAGTTGGACTTCGATGATCCTTGTGGGTCCCTTCAGAATATTCTGTGATTCTGTGAGGTTAAATATTTGCTCTATTTTTCTGGGATCACAAGTATTTAGGATACATTGAGAACTGTCTCTTTAAGCAACCGATGGAAAGAACAGCGTCCTACAAAATTAGGGTGGGTTCTTACATTTATTCTGTAGCTGGAGAGAGTCTGTAGGACGCACTGTGCATTCCCATGAGTAGTTTAAAATTCAGTTTTACATAGGTCCAGTTTAAACTCTGGGTACTATTTAAATCTTGGTATGTAATTACAGTTTGCTGCATTTGTGTTCTGTTCAGTTTGCATTTTTCCTGCGGATTATAATTTAAGTGTTTCTTGTCTTAAGTCTTTCAAATGCTGTCAGCAACTGGCAGCTTTCAAAATTAGCAATGTAGATCCTTGGAATCTAATACCTGAGACTTGTGAAAATGCAAAGTCGAGTGTGGTTGGAAATTAAAGTGAGCAACAATGTGACAGGTTGTGCCTCTGACACCTTTCTTAGCAAGTGGAACTTGGTTTGAGACTGTTTCTGCCATGATAAAGGGATATAACATATAGGGACTACTTCAGGGCATTTAAAATTTTTGGCATTAACTGCATATCCAGTTCAGGGAATGGAAAGTAGCTGTGCAGGGCTATGATTAATCCAGTAATTCCTGCACAGTAAGGTGGTCCACCTCCATTTATATTCCACGGAGTGCAAAATTGCCTAGTGATGCTGGTTTTTTCTCCACCTGAATTTCATTTAAAAGAACTAAAAATACATTGATACCTGAGTGGTATAAGTTAATAATCTTTCTTTTTTTTTTTTTTAGTTCGTTAGGCTGACAAAATAATGTCTAGAGACAGTCAAAACACTTAACTGAAAATGTTGCGTTTTGGCATCTCTAAATGTAATTCTTTCTAAACAATCTGAATTTAGTTAAATTTACACACTTTGAAATGAAGAATGATTTGGTATAGATGTTTTCAAAACTGCTTAGACATTTTTGTGACAGTCTTTTGAGTGTGTTTTTTTAACCAGAAACATCATGTAACTGTTTTTCTGTCAGTGTAATTGTGTGCCTCAGAAAGTTGTCTAGCTGCATTACTCTCATGTCGCTTAATATGAGTAGTTGCCATGGCAGTAAGGGATATCAGGAATATCTGACAGTCTCTGTGACTCTCTGACATTATCTGTTCTGATGCACCTCTCAACTTACTGTGCTGCTGGAAGTTCCCTGCAGCCTAGAAGTGAACAGAGAGAAGAGAAAGTGCCCTTTGTTTAGAATCTCCTCCTTGCCCTCATAGAAAGCCTCTTCTTTGTTCACTGAGATTTGCTGTTACTGGTTAAATGGATTACTGTTTTTGAGAGTTTGGCAATTCAAATGTTTTATCTCAAGACTCCCTGGAAAGTGTGCAATATAACTTTTTTGGGGGTAGAATATGCTAACGAATTTAGATCACATGGTATGTCGTAGTTTTTAGCCAAATACAAGTTAGTACCCCTAATCTAAGGGTACTCTTGTATATAAAATGTGTCTTGTATACTCAGGATATCATATGTCCAGGTCAGGTCCTGTTTCATCTTTCTCTCTTGACAATGTTGTTTTCTGTATTTCACTGCACAACATTACATTCAGACTTATAAGTCTCCTGAAATTAGCTGCTTAGGGAATTGGGGTAATTTCTAGGGAATAAACCCATAGCATGTGTTTGATTTAAGAAGCCTGAATGAAAATACTACTTGTAAAGTATACATTACATTTTAATATCTCATGTTTTACTTAAGCAAATATTTAACATGTGTCTTGGTATTTGGAGAACAGTTTGGATAATTCTCATAATGCCTTTATAACATAGCGGTGGAAAGACTGAAAGAGTGGTTGGTATTTCCCTTCTCTCTATAGCTGGTTACGTGCAACTCATGCAACAAAACAATGAGACATTATGGTAAAAGCAGGGATTTCCTGGACGCCAATACACAGAATTCCGGCACTCCGAGTGTTAAATCCAGCCTGAAGACACCAGATGTAAAAATTCCATCTGCAAAGAAAATGACACCTGCAAGCTGCAGTAGGTTGGGATCTAAAGGGAACAGTCCCTCATCACTTCCCAGGTACCTGCGTCTCTCCTATTAAAAGCTGCACTTTGCTGAGTAGAGTGTATTATGTCTTGTTGACTGTAAATCAGTCATTTAATAAACTCTAAATTGATAACTAAGTGTTTTTCTCAGTGGTATGGTTGAGGAGATCAATTTTAACTTTCCAGTCTTTAAAGTCAAAGATTCTCATTAAAAGCCACAGTGTGCAAAGAATGCCCAATTATGTTTGTGTCATTAGTGTGAAATGTCTGCCTTAAAATTTACATAGCAGAGTCATACTTCTGTCTGCTTTCACATGAAAATACACTATTTACCTTGACATTTTGTCACTCAAATTATATCTGTGCACTTTTCACTGTTACTTTATGTTAATTCTGGTTTCTCACCTTTAAGACATTTGAGTCTTTTTGTTTTTCAGAACACGTCGATCTGGACAGGCGACACCCAACTCTGCTTCCAAGGCTCCCCGAAGAAGTTCTCACTTTTCTAAGCTAAAATGGATGCTCGAGCTAGAAGAACAAGAGAAGAGCCAGCAGGCAGATTTCAAAACCTTCTTGACTTTACTTTAGTTATACATTATTTCAAAGTAATAAAGATCACAGCAATAAATACTGTTCCAGTTTTAGTAAATCAGCAAAGTGATTTCTTTAGGTACTGCACCCGGTGAAAGCATAGACCATGTATTTTAGAAGCAAGTCCTGTTTCTAAGGGGAGTGATTGTCTGCCAGAGGGAGATAAGATAGCCAGTCTAACATGCTTGGGAATCTTGAATGTGTTTCTGCAGTTTCTGATGGCACAAGAATTAAAAGCTGGGATCAGTCCTTTGAGGAAGCTGAAGATAGCAGATCAGTCAGTGGGTCCACCAGGCCCAACAGATAGGTTGGCTGACCAGAAAGCAGTTAGGGGGTGGGGAGGCTGCAGTTTGCTCCACTTCGCTGTCCCACTATTTTTAAGGTAATTCATCACAACAGAATGTAAAACATCTCACCCCTGCTTTTCAGGTTTGAGTAAAACAAATACACTTTCACTGGTACCTTCTGCAGGTAGGGTGTTTTCAAGGGTCTAATGTAGTGTCCTGTCGTGTCGTGTCTTTTGATAGCTGTGGTAGTTTAAGCACAGCTTTTACAAAGGTTCCAAAATAACTTATATTTTACGACAGCACTTGTAAAGAGAAAGAGAAAACGATATCACCAGATTAAGTTTCTTCATTGTCATAAAAATGTTCTCTGTGATTTGGACTGCAGACAATACTGATCCCAGGATAACACAGAACCTTGTAAAACTGCACTCTGATGTGGGATGTTCTTGATGCCAGCTGACAGCTCCACGCTAGACTGCTATCAGCACCCGGATTTGTTACTGATACAGTCATAAAGAACAGGGTGTGCTTCATTTCCATTTGCTTGTGCTACCAAAATAGGTCACTTTTGTGATGTTAAAAAATGACAGCAGAGAACCTCTTTCTTAAATGTCTTTTCAGTTTTGTCAGGCTTCAGAGTTGCTCCCTCCCTGGACTTCAGTCTGGAAAAGTAGCTTTGCCTTGGACAGTAGTGAAGTCATTGCACCAAAGTGTTCTGATGGGAAAAGATGATCGTCAAGGTTAAAGTGGTCTCCAGTGTCAGATTTTACAATTTAAATTTGGCACAGAGATGAGAGAGGACAGTAGAAAGTCACTGTTCAGGACTGAGGTTTATAACCTTGCCCTGCATACCGTCTGCAGGGATAGTTCTGCAAATGGTGCTTCAGATTTCCCCTCTGAAGAAGAGAACCAGTCAGTCAAAAATACTTACATTCTTTGGTTTAAAGGTCTGTATTTTCCTTTTTTTTATTTTCTGCTAGTCTAATGAATAGTTTAAATGTATTCAGACTCAGTGAACACTGCTTAAGAAATAGGACCAGCAAATAAGTTGGCAGACTGGAAAGCAATCCAGGGCAGGGGAGAATAGTTTGTTGTAAATTGTACCTACAGTCTCAAAGATTGGCATGTAACCTTTTTATATCTCCTGCACAATATCTGCATTTGCACAATAACTGAAAGGTTCACTGCCATTTGTTTCTTACATACATGTAGGATCAAATTAACTGTCATTCTTTGATCAAAATACGAACCTTGGAGTGATGCCTTTTCCAATGCAGAACTTGGTATTAATTCACCTGTTGTAGCTGTATTTATGATCCAGTCCTCTGAAAAAATACTTCAATCTTGTTGATGGAAAATGTACATTATACAAAAGTATTTGGAAAAAAAATGAAGTTTTGCAATCAGTTTTCCCATATAAAGTACACACATTAGGTACACGACTGATGTGCTTCCCCCGAGGCTTATGTGAAACCAGCATGGGCATCTGCTGTGTTTCAAGTTGCCCCAACATTAATGTATTAGACCAAAGTACATCTCTCAGTTGTCCCTGTTTACTCTCCTTTTTATGCAACACCTTGTGGTCTCAAGAGTGCGTTCCTGTTGGATAAAACTACAGATGAAGGATAAAATACATGATGGGGGCGCAACCAGTGTGCTGCAAAAGCTAATGGGCAACCTATCTCACAGGATCACAGGACAGCTTGTCTGACCTACACATCTACAAATAGTGTATTGCGGGTGGCAGGCACTGAGCTTCAGGTATCCCGTGCTCCAAGTGTGCTGCTACTGCAATGTGCTCTTTGTTAACATAGAGTCTGCCATGCTCCAAAAAACTCATCTTTTCTCTTTGGAATTGCCAGAGTTGTCAGATATGTCCAGATGTGTTGTTAAAGGGGATCGTTATTGTGAGCTATCAGACTTCATTCTGCGATCAAAGGAAAAAAAATCATTCAGTATGTGCCTTTCCTTGTTTTACAAGTGTGCTTCAAAATGCTGGGTAGAAATAATCTCCAATGTTTTTATGTTATTCCTAAGCCTTTAACACAGTCTTTTTCCGTTACTGGGCTTTTACAGGGTCAGTGTATTGAAAAACATTCACATAACAGACACACATATGTATGTATGTATATACGTATGTGTATGCATGATATATGTAGGTATATACCTACATATACACACATCAGATGCATATATCTATGTATATATATTACACACATACATATATGCACATATATAGATGCATCTGATGCACTCTTCCTTTCAGAACACATTACATTCCTGTACTCAACGAAACACTGAAGATTAACTGTCAGCAGCAAGAGACTCCTGCTGAGCCTCCCTGCCAAACCACTGCCAGGCCACATTACTGGTTTGTGTTTGAAGAGCTGGAAGAACAACTCGAGAGAGGAAATGCCCTCCCTGATTTCAGTGAGGGCAGAACTTCACCTAGACTTTATAAAGCAAGACCAGGAAGGTCTCTGTTAAGCATACAGTCCTGTGTAAAGGCATTTAATTACAGAGTTATTTCCCAGCTCATACAAACTCTACTTAGGCAACGGTATGTGTATCATTGGCAGTAATAGCATCATGTCATATTGAAAATGTTACAAAGTGTGTCTTAATATAAGCAGCTCAACTAAAGCATATTTTATTTTGAAACATTGGTTTGAGCCACTTTCCCAATTTTTGAGTAATGGGAACCTCAAGCTGACATATTCCAGCTGGTTCCCTCATACCCAGCCCTGTCTCTAAAGAAACACAAACTTTGGCCAGACTAGATGGTATGTGAACACTACTTCATTTGAAAACATTTACAGTCCTAGACTTCAGACCCTTTAATGGGCACTGCTTCCTCACTGAAAATTGTCACATAGAATACAAATACAGACAGTAATAAACTTCTAAATTAGTATCAACCATTTCCCTAGCATCATCAGTACAAGATCCCAGCTGACCCCTAAGTATAGGAAGCAGTTTACAAAGCCATTTCCCATTGTGAGATAAGAGTAAGCAAGCAATAAACAAGGATTTCAAAGATGTTTTTACAACAATGTTTTATTAAATATGAAAGAGCGTACATACAGGTGCTATTCCGAGGACATAAATCACACAAGGATTACAGGTTCTGTCAGAAAAGCACAATAATGAAACATCTTTACATTTCAAACTTTTCTTGTTAGCTTTTAACAAATGAGTCTATTTCTGTTGCAAACAAGTAACAAGTGCTATTGAACTTTTGCAAATTCCCACAAAAACATCATGCTTAGTAGGATACTTTAAATATTGTAAATATGAAATCAGAATTAGATTCCTAAATAACAAGATGGAAGAGATTTACTACTTAAGATAAATGACACACTGAAATAGGAGCCGAGACAAAATTGGTCATTCATTAAAAAAAATAAATTCCACTTCAGACACTACATTTTGAGTCTGCTTTCTTTACTTGCAGGAATAGTCACTGTGATTATATGCATGAGGAATGAGCAGAACTGGCTCTAAGTATTTATATATGTAACCATCGAGTTTTAGGCACGCTGCTTTTCACTGGTTTTCCCCACTGAAAAACCCCACAGCACAGATCCATCTGCTCACGTTTCAACAGGCTGATATCCAGCTCTCCTGCAGAGGGCCGGGCAGGCCTAGTCTGATGTCCATGTCTTCCATGGCCATCTGCGCAGCAGGCGACTGCGTCCTACGTACGGTCATCATCAAAGCACCAGACTTGTGAGAGCAGCATTAGTCTGTGGAAGTCCTGACACATCGTCCTTTTAAACTTCAGGTAAACAGGAATGTAATTTTGTCAAAATTTTTTTCAGAAGACTACTCAGATAAAATACATAATAAGCATCTCGTTTGGGTTGTGTTGCTAAGGGTTAGCAGAGGTGTTTTAATATATTAATACAAACATTAACAGAGTGAATCCAACAAGCTAATGTTACTGCAGGCTGTAGTTTAATTTCCAAGAAGAGTAATGAAACACAACTTCTAAGAATGGTGATTTTTTTCAACTAAGGACATCACATTTATTTTTAAAAACACACAAGTGGGGTAATATTCCTGATATCTTCCAAAACATTCAGCAAAAAACACAGCTTAAGCCTGCAAACACTAGAATATACAAGCAGTCCCAGTGACCTCCAAGGTAAGCATTCTCATATGGCAAAGTGCTGCAGGAATCTCTTTGCTTTTTCCAGAGAATGCTCAATAAAAGTGCAATATAGTGAAAAAAAATCTCATTATTATGCTTTTATTATTAGATGAAAAATGTTCAGATATTTTATAATTGTGCCTTTTGTAGGGCGGCCATTCTGGTTTGATTGGAGTCAGACCACGTTAGAAGAGGCAGGCAGGGTATACCCACACATTTTCTTTGCCGGGGTGGTTAACACCCCCCAAAGCAGTTCTATTGTACAGTCCCACCTACAGCTCAAACATTGTGCTGCCCAGTTTCACACTGTTTTTTCTGTCTTGACAAAAGTTGACATTCAGTTTGCTTTTCATTTCCACCTAGGCATATTCTCCCCTTCAGCTCCTAGGTAACCCACCTTTCCCTGCCCAGCCCCTTTTCTTCCTGAGATGTCAGAAGTACGTACATTAAGCTTTGGAACCTGAGAATTTGGAGGTATTTTTTGATACTACAGGGCTGCATTTGTATCATACCATGTTATCTCCTGCTATACTATTACAGTTACAATATAAATCTTCTAATGACTTATACCTGATGCCTTTCCCATATAAATAAAAAAAAATCCAACGTACCATTCAGCCACTAATATATGACACTTGCTGTAACAGTGACCTTTACCAGTCCTCTTTTCCAAACAAATCCTGAGGGATCACTTCCAAAACCCCAGCTATGAAAAACTCCTCAAAGTAAACAATTTCACAGTAAAATAAAGAAAAATATATCCAGAAAATAGCACTCTCTCAAAATTAAAACTTATATACATCAAGAAGAGGTTGAGATTTTTCCTCATTCTTTTATCAGTTCTACATTATCTGTAGATAAGCAACATTATCACTAAGAGTTATGAATAGGAAAAACAAGTCTAGTAAAGTAAGTGTCATGTCTTTTTTACAACTCTTGAGAGATCAAGGAAATTAGTCATTCAACTTTATTATTACAAATATTTTCAACTGAGGGAGCAAAAGACTATTTGAGCCTAATTCCCCATTATTTTGAGTAACCAAGACAGATCCTTCAATGCCTTCTAAACAAACCATGTCACTGCACTTGTAATCACCTCTGGGTACAAATTCAGTTTTCCATGGATGGGATTCAACTGTGAACCCACTACTTATCCTTCCTGGTTTAGAATTAGTTTTATAATTCTTAATAGATTAAGCTGGTTTAATATTTATCACAAATTTGGTGCTATTTAGCAACACTGAGCTTTAACTGCAACTGTAATACACATACATGTGTGTAAGAATTCATGAGCTGAGTTTAACATACTAGAACAGAAATATTTAAAACATTACAATTGCATCTGAACATTTTCTTATCAAGAATCTATACTGAAAAGATGCCAATAAATGTTATTTAATTTGGCATATTAGACTTCAACTAAAGAAACGCTCTTCTGGATTTATCATAGCTAGCTCTTTTTTCCCCTATGGAGTGGGAAATTGCTACTCAAAACTTACAAATCTTTGGACAGCTAGTGAGCTCTGATGAATGATTTTCAGCACTCCTATCTGTCACTCAGAATTTTAGAGGAAATTAGTATTAATATTCTACATGGCATGCTATGGAATACTATGTCAACAGCTTGTATTTTTATCTTTTGTGGTCCTTTCTCTACTTAACTAAGGTCTAATTTGTGGCAGTTTCCATGAGAAAAGATAACTGGACTGAGGTGCTTATGCCCAAGGGTATCTAATTTAAAGATTATTCTCCATTCACATCCGACAAGTATTCTAGTCATTAGCCCTGTAGAAGTCAGTAACAAGTGACAGATACTACCTTTAACAATTTCGCTCCAGGACTATTTAGAATTGTTGTGGTTTTCGAAAAGTGACAGATACTACCTTTAACAATTTCACTCCAGGACTATTTAGAAAGATTTTTCTTTAAAAACTGCTTTCATTTGACAAGGAGTATTAAACTTGTAAACTGCAAACTTAACTGATGCAAAGCAACGCCTGACAAGTGCAAACCCGTGAACAAAATGCAATCATTAAATACTCGTATGATATATCCAACTCGAACACTCGCAGCTCAGGTTTTTAAGGTCATATAAATGCCAAAAATACAGCTAGGCATTTTTTAAATCACTCCTCAACAATTACACACCTCATTCTGATTGACTGACTGACTGAAAAGCCTAAACTTTCTGGCAGTCTGCTAGATGCCTATCTGTATCTTTTAAGTTTTCAAATTACCTTAAACATTGATGCATAGTACAGTAACAAGGATTTTTCACAAATTCAGCTGCCCATAGACAAATACCACATCTGTGCCATGCAATGGAGTTTTATAACTTGGTAATAATTTTTCTGCTGTTTTGACTTACACAAAGGCCTGAAAAGGTCTTCTCCTATTCTGTGAGAAGAAGACAATCAAGACCTAGAAATATTTGCTGGGGCAGGACAAGGTGGGGGGCTGGTAACCCATGCTGGCCTCCAGGGTTTCTCAGTGGAAGAAGATGTACAGCTCAGTTGTATCACCACCTTGTTGCATGTATGAGCGGTATACAGCGTTTTCAAATTTTAATAATGGGCATTTAGCAATTGAGGCAGTTTAGAGAATGACCTTTCAATTTAATTAAAGCTGTAAAATGGCTTCACATTTCTGGGATTAACCTTTTTAGATGGAGACTGATGTTCCAGAAAGGGATTAGAGTACAAATGAATGGTCCCTCAATTTAGAAACTAAGCAGCTGTAAAAAGCAAGTCACAATTTCGAAACTGAATTAAAATGGTCAATTGTATACTTTCTGTATGCTGACTTTTAAATGATACAAAAATACTGCAATATTTTGAGTCATTTGATAATCTGCTCAGTGTAACGTGACTTATGTTTTCCAATAGAAAATTGGTTATTAACATTTACTTCGAAAAAACCCACTTGTTATGGGAGTAGGTAATTTAAATGTAATGGACAGTAAGATCACTTTTAACTTTGCATTAAATTGCATTGACCTTCTCAGAAACATAAGCCTGTGATTTCCACATTTCACTCCCTCACTAGTAACTGAAATGTCTCAAGTTAGAATTATGTGTTGATTATACTTTGATCTACATTAAATACAGGGTACATAAGAAAACTCTCAGCATGACTTTTTACAGGGCACCCAACAAAAATCTTTACAAAAGATAAGATAATTATTCATTCTTCAATGTAACAGACACCGATGTCACTTTTATAAATGTACCCTTATGTTCACTCGCCAATAAAATAGTAAACAAATCAACTTTTTAAACCATTTTTTATAAATTATTAAAGTATTTTTACTGACACTCTCCAACAATATACAAAAATAATACTACAAGAGTACCAATCGGTCTGGCCTACCCCTCATTTCACAGAAAAGTAGAGGTTCTGGAAGGATGTTGTTGTAATCAATCGTCGCTGTAGATGTCTCCTGCGAACGGCAGGTGTACGTGGCTGCCCGTGACGTTGGGAAGCCGAGACAGATCAGGCAGGTTCTGGATCCGTGACCTGAGTTCTTTCCGTACTTGGGACACTCTGGCTAGCTTGCGTTTGTACTCCTGTAATGCAGAAGAATTCAATATGAAGTTCTTTTGCTAATACCATCCCTACTCCTTACTGCACTTGACGTTTTCCAAGTATTCCTTCTGCAAGTTAGTTAAACAGCCTTTAACAGGTGAGAACCCAGAGAACTGGGTATTTTGGAGGCAGAGGCATCAGCTCAAGCATTTAACTGATTTTGAAAGCATAGCCATGGGATTATATTGCTTTGAATTTTAAGCACCCAAATGCTAAACAAGGAAGACAATCCCAGTTAACACAACCACAGATTCTTCTCCATGTAGCTAGTAGAATGGAGGTGTTCCTAAATCTTTATTAGGGATAGTTGATACACATACTCTACTATAAATCACAAAGCATGGGAGGATAAATTTACTGATGTCAAAGAAGTTACTTCCATGTCATACTGATGAAAGATAAAATCCAACCAAATACCCCCTAACCAGTCCTGCTGATCAGCTCCACCAAGCTGACCAGTTATAATATATTTTGTATTAACTTCTACAATAAAAAGCATATTTCATCAGTACATTTAGGGATTTAACCCTGAGTTTTCAGAAACCTTTTGAATTGGGAACTTAGGATTTCACATTGTGTTGCAATACAAATCAAACCACTCCTAACTGATGTATTTAATGATTATGAGACACTTTTCATGTCAAACAACATTATACAAGATGTAAATCACTGCACTAGAAAATAGTTAGTGCTCACCTATTAAGGACGTGAGACACAAAGGAGAAGAATAACAACTTGTATAAAATTAAAACAGTTATTCCAAAATATAAGAAGGTTAAGGTATAATTCACAGGAATATTTAAATTTCAAATGCTTGGAAAGTTCAGAAAGCAGAAGAAACTAAGCATTAGCAGGCAAAGCAGTGCTTCATGAAAATATACTGTAATTCATAACACATGAAATGCACAGGGTTTGCCTCAGCCTGGGAATGGCTAGAAATAACCACAAATAGTTAACATACAACTTAGATAATCAGCCCATGGATAACCAAGATCACATGATTATAACCACTTCTAAATAACAGTGGGGAAAAAATTCTGCATCATCCTGCAACAGTTCCAAATATAAACACCTGAAAGTTATAGCAAGTATAAAAACACTGTGCAAATGTCTACAGAATATCACAATCACGATATTTGTTTACAAGGTCTAAACATAATTTTAAACATGCTACTATACTGTTAATGGCATGGAATAATAAGGAAGGACAATGAAAAGACCTTTGGGTAGTAGAACCCAATATAGTAGTAAAAAATATTAGATACCTGGGACATGATCAAGATTATTGAACAAGGTCCAACACATATTAAAACAAAAGCTTGTGACTATTAGCAACAGCATGACCTTCTTACCAAGGGCAGTAAGAAAACTGTGAGATTATCTTAAATTCTTAATGAGAAGGCAATGCATAGCTAAAAAGAAATACTTAAATCTTTACACAGAAAGAGAGAAAAAAGTGTCCCTGGATTTGGATCATCAATTCCTTGATATCTTTTGTATTTCAAAATCAAATATTACATATAGTTCAGAGTCTTATGACATACTAAACACAGTGAAAATCCTACAGATGCCCAGTCAGCGGAACTGTAAACACTTGGTGACAGCACACAGGGGAAAGCATCATCCTTTTATGATTTGGATGACCAAAGAAGTCTTGCAACTGCAAGTCCCTTGGTACCAGGAAAACTGTCACTTACACTTGCCCAAAATGTTCTCTCTGGTTTGGTGCAAGTGACTTCAGGACATAGCTGTGGAAATGGAAGTCTGTATCCTGATACTGTATCCTTACAGTAATGCCCAAAGGCCACAAATACTTTACTGTTTCATATCTAATATTACAGCAGCATCCAGAGGCCTCAGTGAGACGATTCTGTGCAAGAGGCATAGTCCTCTGCCAGCAAGTAAAAAGCCAATAAGAGACTACTTCTTGCACTTTTCACTATGCATTTTAGTTCAAGTTGCAGAGATATATTCCTGACTCCTGACTGATAATCTCCTGATAATTTAGGCAACAGATTTTAATGCCAGAGGAAAAGGCAGGGTTTAGATTTCACTGTTTAGTAAAACAACCAATTTGGCAATATACAGAACAGTAGTCAACCAGAATCACTATTTTCAGAAGCAGGATGGCTGGAGATTGATCACTGGGTAACGAGGGCTTCATGCAAGCTTGAAGCTAGGAGACCTGGCATCTGTTGTGACAGACGTAATACTGTATAGAAGAAGATGAGTAGAACTGTAAGCAGAATCATAACACTCAAAAGGCCTAAAATTCATAAAATACGTTAACTATAGAATCATTCCAGCATTTAATTCTTGTAAACGGCTGGATCCTGACCAAGTTTATTCTCTATCAATGAGGAAAATGAAGCAGCAAATCAGTATCCCTTCATGAGCTCGAAGCCTGATGCTTGGCAAATACACATAGATCACTTAGTGACAGACTTAGCAACTATATTCTCTCAATACTTTACTCCAAAACCTGATATGTGCCTTGTATTAGATTGTCAGTTGCTTGACTCCCTTAAAATTCCTTTTAGCTGATAATAAATCATTTCCATAACAACACTGCATTTCTGACACCCAGCGTTTTCCATATAAATTCTGCCTGAGACTTGTTGCCTAGTGACTATCAGCCTGATCAATATTACTGACAGTAGGTTCCTTTTTCTCACTACAGGAAATGTTCTCATAAATTCAGTCTCCCATATAAAACAGTCATCTTCCTCTCGTCAACACCCTTGGCATAATGCATACTATCAGGAGTCAAAACCTGTTCCGTGTGCCTTCTCAGAAACAGAGAACTCTGAGAAAGTTTGCTCAAAGTTTTTACTGCAAAACTAGAGTAAATAAAAAAAAAACCCCATAAGGTTTTATAGTTGATTATATTACTGCTGCAGTATAAACTACAGAATGCAATTTTAATCCAATTTTGGTAATCCAAAGCATACATGAGATTTGAAACTGCAGGTTAGATGCCCATGGCAATCCTCCCTGACAAGTAGAAAAATTATTCACCTTATCCAGAGCACCTCATTTTCCATGATACTCCCCAAACCATTCTAGAAATCACTGGAAACTTCCAGTTTTTATGACTGGTAAGCAAGTTCAAAAGAGGGTTGATTTTCAAGTACAGCAACCTAACAGTTTTGAGGTACTTTCAAAGTGGCTGCTTTTCAATTTGACTACATAAAATCACCAGTCACTTCTGGACGGGTTTGCTTGTATATTTTCAAGGCTGCTAACATAGTCCTGGTATTAATTAAGTAGTCATGGACTGTTGGAATACAAGTATCAAATGCTCATTATCAACAGTACTCATTATATGTACAGCCTTTATTATTTTACCATAACAACATGCACACGTACCTAGAACCTTTTCCCTCAATACTGAGAGTGTGACTGAATTAAAGCAGAGGAGTGAGAATGGAGATAGCTGGGTGTTATTTCTGATATTGCTGCTCCATTAGAAATGCTATACACTATACAACAGAGACACAATTTAACCATATTTTTGACACTTTTAACTGTGGAAATCCTCATGGAGAATTTCAAATTCATTATGCTGATTTTAAGATACACTTCAAATTACCCCTGTGTAAAAGAGCAAGATTCAAGCTATTTACTTCAAATAGTCAAGGACAGGCAGAAGTATGATGTTTTCTTTTGCTACACTGAGCATAATTTGCATTGCTTGCTACCTATGGAGAGTCTTACTCTTGGGATATATGGGCAACCTGATGTATGGAATAAAAGTCTCTTCAATTTCTCCAGCGGTTTAAGATAACGCTACTTTCAAGCAGTAATTTTTTGTACTTACAGTCATAAAAGCATGTTTATGAGGTAATTAGAAGAACTTATTTTGCTCATTAGAATCCTACCGATTACTACAGTTTCCATTACTCGACAGCATAGAATATGGATATTTTGTGAAAGCAATGCTAACAACATATGTGCTCATCATCCAGATAAATAGTAATTCTCTATCACATAAGTATCAGGCAAAAAAGCCAAATAATTTTTTATTAGACACTACAGACATCATAAATAATAAAAATGGGGGCAGGCTGAACAGGGCATGCACTGCAGAGAGTATTTTCCCTTCCAACTAGAATACATCTTAATATAGAGTTTCTGCAATTACCATAGAAAGGTGATACAGACAGAACAACTTGGAGCTTCATGGATATGCTTTCCCTTTACAACATTAATATGACTTTGAACCCTCATCTGAGTGCTGAGGCTATGGCATGCAGCAAAAAAATAAAATACTGTGGTAGAAAATGTATAGCAAAGCAAGAATAAAAGGTTTGCAGAAAAGACCAATATTTAATCTGCACCCTTGTTAGCGGCAGAAAGAAAGCTGAGGGGGAAATCAGTACTTTCAATACAGAAAAACAAAACTCAAAAGGCTTAAAAGGCTTTTAAGGTGTTGAGGGCATGTATGTACACCGTATTTAAAACTAAGATCTCTGACTTTCTAGATCCATTCCAATCTTTCAGTTTCAGGTGCAGGTGTCAGAGCTGCATCACAGAGCAAAGGCTTCTCATGTGCTTTGTCCAACAGTGCAGAAACCACTACAAGTCTTCAAAGGTTCAGATGAAAGCAAATGTCCTGTGACACCCTGGTATGTAGATTTTGAAGTTCACAATCACAGTATTTGTTTATAGACTCCACTTTGTTAAAACTGAATGCCTCACCCAGGCCGGGTATCCTTCTGCAAGAAGGACTGACTGCTAGAATATAAGTCAGATAAGCCTCACTATCACTCTGGAAAAAGATGAGCAGGGTTAAATTTTACTCTGCCCTTAAAAATTTGGCATAGCTCACATTCTTCAGCAGTATGCCTAAAAGCTCAACCTATTTACCAGTGTTAAAGACAAACAATACCCTGAAATAACTTTAAGACAGTGAACTGACTTAGAACACATTATATGCTTCACACATAAGGTTGAAAAAACCAAGGACAGGAATGATAAG